TTCTGAGGAAGCTCAGGAAGGCCGGACTCCCCTCCAGGCTAATGACAAACTTTTACAGAAGCACCATCGAGAGCATCCTCTGTCTTGGCATGACCGTTTGGTACAGCAGCTGCACGGCACAAGACAGAAAGGACTTGGCCCGGGTGGTAAGAACAGCCCAGAGGATTGTGGGAAGTCCTCTCCCAGACCTGGACTCAGTGTACGCTGGCCACCTCCAGAGGAAGGCCAGCAGCATTGCCACAGATCCCACCCACCCGGGTCACAGACTGTTCTCTCCCCTGCCCTCAGGACGGAGGTACAGGGCCCTCAAAGCAAGGACAAATAGACTGAGGAACAGCTTTTTCCCCAGGGCTGTGGCCTCCATCAACCCCCCTGCACTCACATACACACCAGCCCCAAACTGAGGAACTGACCTTTGCACTTTGAACTGCACCGTTGCACTTTACCTCACCTTGCTGCTGTTTTTACACTGCCTGCTGCCTCTTTTATCAAAGTTTTTATACTGCTGCTATATCTTTCACGCACTTTATTGTTTTTATACCTTACTGACGTCTTTTTATATTTATATTTATATACTGTCTGTCCTTGTTATTGTGTTGTTATCTTGCCGAGGGTACTACACATAATTTCGTTGTGCAGTGTACAATGACAATAAAGTCTTCTATTCTATTCTAAGTCAGGTTGAGAGCTGGCATTAACCGCTTTATTAACGACCCTCCTCTTAGTCGCATATGGTCTATCATGAAAGACAGTGAGTTCACTACGTCAAACAATGTATTTAGTGGGCTCAAAGTTTCTCAGGAAAGCAGGCCACGACACCACCAAAGAGGACTTGATAATATTGAGGAACTCAGAAGCAATGAACCCAAACACACCACGGGGCTTGGTACACAAAGTCTGGTTCGACATCCAGTTACATTTTGGGAGGAGAGGAAAAGAGGGTCTGCGATAACTTCCACCACAGTCTTTCGCAATAAAATGAGATTCAACAGGTGGTTAATCAAATAGGCTAAAGGACTTGCAAAGTGCCATTAATAGCACAATGATATCAAAATAATAACACTCTGTTAAGAAGAAACGTGGTTAAATGTGTCTGATTACTGTTTCATTTCTGTCTTAAGGCAACAAATATGTGACGCTTACCTTCAATGAGGATACAAAAAACCACAAAGAACATCATGACAGGGATCGTCAAAGCAGATGCGGGTTTATGTTTGAAGATCCAGGGAGTGAATTGTGCCTGGTTTCATCATTTGAAAAGTACCTGTCTAAAATCCCAAAAGAGGCTAAAGCTTTTTACCTCCATCCAAAAAGAGGAGGAAAGTTAGGGGAGGTGTGGTACTCTTTGGAACCCATGGGTGTAAATTACCTAGGCTCCATGCTATCGCAGATCTCTAAAGATGCAGGCACATCAGCGATTTACACAAATCACAGCATCAGGAGCACTACTGTCCAGAAACTGGCCGAGTGCGGACTGGAAACGAGAGAAATAATGGCCGTTAGTGGACACAAGTCCGAGAGTTCCTTACACAGCTACTGGGCCCCTTCTCTGGATAATAGAAAACGGTGGAGCAATATGCTGCGCACCAGCCGTGGAAACGTCAGGCCGGCAGAGACCAGCCCCTCAAACACCTCTGCAGCATCACCTGCGAAACGGCTGAGATCCAGTATGGATTTGATGGATAACTGTTTCACCAACTGTTCTTTTAATGGCAGTCTGCAGTTCAATTTCTACAAATAACTCCTCCTTGATCAGTTACTGGATACTAAATGGTGTGTAAAAATGAGATAAAATATGACCCAGGACAACACACATGTACGACCACAAATAAGAATCTAAGACATAAGATAAAATAGTGAAGTTGCATACAGGAATGAGATGTGTGTACATAATAAATTAGAAAATAAAAGTGTTATGTGGTTTAACAGTCTGGATGTTACCTGGCTAATATTTTCACCTTGTGGTATCAGTACAGTAGTAGAACAGTAAGATTAATGTAGCTATTGTAGCCTATGCAGAATAAGCAGAAGTAATCAATATTTAGATGTAAGAGACGATGTAGTAAATGTTGCCTAAAAATGGATCATATAAACTATCAAACTGCTGATTAATGAAAGCAGTATAACTGTTAATCATTGTAGATAAAGATCAGCTGTGTTGGTGAGTCATTGACACGGCACCTGCTACCGTAACGTGACTAGCTTAAAATGACTGTAAAGTTGGCAGACGTAATAACCATATCAGTCCATGAAAAAAAATTTTTTCCAGCGGATATCTCAGTTACAACATGATTGAGCTAGCAAAGCAGTTGTGTGTTGCAATGTGTGGTATTTATTCAGTTTTGGGAAATTGCGATGTCTTGAAAGCATCAGTGGCTGCAGCTGACAGGGACTAGTTAACGCCAGACGTCAAGTATTTCCATTGAAACGGGGACAAACACTAGCAAAAAACTTATACTTTGAGAGCGTATTGTTCCACATTATGGATAAATTTTGATAATATATTTTATTTTTATTGGTGGCAAGCGCCTCGTTCCTGACCGCATCACTGTTGTGACAATAATGACGGTCAAGCATGTAGTATCTGACGTGCCACATGTTATGTGATGGTCTGGGTCTTTCATGATCAGTTAGGGCCCAGGTCAAGGATAGATAAGCTAGGTGAAAGGTTGGATTCCATCTAGATTGTCTTTCTGTCACTTGTCACATTTTGTCTCAAAGTTCACAAAAACAACCGAACTCTATATAGGTAGTACTTGGAGCTGTTTTTCCAGAGCAGTTCATATTGGCTTCGAACACTCTCTCAGGCAATCTAGATGCTTGATTTGATGCTGTACTTCTTGTAATAAACCTTTTCTATATACAAGCAAGATGGTGTCAGCGGAGTCTCCTTCATCACCTTCACATCATCGCTATTTAATAAACAACAAGCACACTCTCAAGTGTAATAATGCTTAATTTACAATTTAATTCCTCTAAAACTGTCGCTATGTTTTTTTGCCAAAACAAACAAATCATACACAGAACCTGACGTTTTTTTTTTTTTTGTTTGTTTGTTTTTTAGTCCTACTGTACTTTCTATTATTACTGTTTTATTGATGTATATGGCCTTGTTGTCCTGTTGTTTGTTGATGTCCTGTTTTTATTTGTTTGGCATTAATTGCCGCAGGGACGAAAGATGGAAATTAGCCACTGGCTACAATCTTGCATATTTACACTTGTGTGTTCATCAATATGTACTGTCCCTGTTTTAAAAAAAAAAAAAAAAAAGTCAAAGTCAAGTCAAACTTCATGTTAAAAAAGTCAGCAAAATTCTCAAATTTACACTTGCAAATTTCAGGCATCTCAGAAATCATATGTCTACAGAAGCTGCAAAAATGTGCATGTTCTCTCTCATAATATCTCATATTATTTACTGTTTATCAACTTGGGCCACTGCAAACTCCACTATTCTAAATCCAGTCCCATCCTTATATAAACAAGCTCTCAAAGTCACGATCCTTTCATCATTGCACAATACTCGATAAATATAAGCTTCTAAACTGGAACAATCTTGTCATTTTCATGAACTGCTGCCTATTGTACAAAATCCATCACAGCCTAGCTCCACCTCCACTCTGCAGCCTTGTACAGTTTAGATCACTTGCAACAAGTGTCACCAGAGGGGCAGCTAGAGGAGATTGTGAGATCCCATTCAGGAAAACTTAATTTGGCCAATTAGTTTTTACCTATAGGGCAGGTAACGAGTGGAATACAATATAAGAGAGTCCATTTCATACAGCTCATTTAGAAAAAAGCTAAAGGAATGGCTAATTGACAGCCAGATCTGTCAACATTAGTGCCTGCACCCACTGTAGTACATGGTTTATCAGTTTGTGTGTGAAATTTGTTGTTGTCGTTGTTGATATGAATTCTTGCCTTGTCTGGTTGGGGGATGTATACACCCTTGTGTGGCTGAGGGTAATGACAGCTTGTCACTGGTAGTGGACCGGACCGTGTGTGTATGTGTATATATATATTTGTAATGTTACTGTTTTCTAAATATTGTACCTATGACGTGTATTTCTTTTACTGTATTTTTTTTTTACCAGGTTCTTTCTGGCAGGGGGACTGCCAATGGAAATTAGCCTTTTGACTACAATTGGGTGCATTTACATTTTATTTTTAAAATGTTCATTAATGTACATTGTCTCTCTACAACAAATAAAGATAAATGAAAATGAAAAATGAAGGGCTAAAGGAATACCTGGGGGTTATTCTTGTTTTCTTCTATTAGTGCTGAGTAATAGTTTGCTCTGGCATTGCGGAGGCCCCTCTTATAAGTTTTGAGACTGTCTGTCCAGATTAAACGAGATTCATGTGTGATTGGTCTCATATATGAGTGATGTCACAGTCACTGAGCTGTATCAGTCTTGTTGTGGATGTTTGATTCAGACGTTTTAAGAAAAGTATTAATATATAATTTGATTCTGACTGTGAGTCCATAAATCTATAAACATGTTCCCACACCTGCTGCTGACATTGATTCAGGTGAGGTCAGGGCCCTGTTTCACAGAGCAGGCTCAACAAACTCTGATCCTGATCTCTGAGCTGACTGAGCCTGAGCTGAGAAACAGAACAGCTGATCAGAATCAGTTCAATCAGCTCTGAGTATGTTCAGCCTGAGGGAAGCTGGGTCACAGTGAGCACCAACAGACATCAGAAGAGTGCAGATAACATGACTCTCAGAGACAGGAAGTGGAGTTAAAAGCAGAGCCACTGATTTCATCCAAAGCTGAATCAGAGATTTGAAGACATGAAAAATCAGTGTGCTCCATCAGCTGAACAGAGAGAGGTGTGATGGGAACAGCCTGCAGAGCGTGTTCATATGTGAAGTGATGTGATGTCATGTGATGAGCTCATGTGTCTAACATACAGAAACATGTTTCTATCTTAACAGTGTTCATATATTTTTTTTTTTGGGGGGGGGGGGGGCTTTTTGCCTTTAATGGACAGGACAGATTGAAATGGGGTGAGAGAGAGAGAGTGGGGGTTGACATGCAGTAAAGGGTTTGCAAGCCGGAGTCGAACCTGCAACCGCTGCAGCGAGGCATCGTCTCTGTACATGGGGCGCCGGCACTATCCACTATGCTACCGACGCCCTGACAGTGTTCATATATTTGAATATAATTTATTCAGCTGTAACGTGATGGAGCCCAAACACACTGGGCACAAACTCAACATCAAACACAAAGGATGCAAGCTGGGTTTGAACCCACGGCTGATGCGTATGATCACAGGGCGTTCGCTCCATCCACTGAGCCACCGATGACCCGTAGGACTTGTCCTTGATAATGGATTGTGATTTATGACCAGGGAAAACCACAACAAGGGTCCAAAGTCTTTTCAGAGCCAGAGACACTTTTCTTACGGGCCGACAAACCGCTGTCTCTCTGATGTGTTCAGTGTCTCTGATGTTATAAAGAAAAGAATCAAAGGACAATGCATAAAATGTGCTGTGATGATAATGTAAATCCAGGATGTGTAATATGTGATATATGTGGGTGGAACAGATTGTTAGATAAATGATAGAGTGTGAGGTCAAACAGTATCTTTCATATAGACACTCCTCCAGGGAGACATCCAAACAGGCTCTAATCACCTTCTCCTTACACAACAGCCTCTGAATACACTGGGCCTCAACCTCCACCACTTCATTCACTAAAGGACAACCTGTGAACAGCAGACAGACAGGTGAGATTTACAGATCAATTAATCAATTTTATTTATAAAGCCCAATATCACAAATCACAATTATACATACACCATACGACATCCCTCTGTCCTTATGAGTCTCACAGCTGATCAGGAAAAACTCCCCAAAAAAACCTTTAACGGGGGGGGACGGTAGAGACAGAGAGAGAGATGCAGGTAATGACAGTAGCTTACAACAACATTAATGAAAGTAATAATATTATAGTTATAGTTCTGGCTACTGTGGTACAATATGTTGAAAGTATGTATTAATATCTGGCAGTATACATGTGTGACAATAGTCATATGTGTATAATAACAGTAGAAGTATGACTAATGACTAATGATGGCAGCAGCAGCAGGAGGCATCTGGCAGGACCACGGCAGCAGCACAACCACACACGTCACGCTGTCCAGGCACCGCTGTGATATGAGTTAATCTGAGAGACAGTGGAGCACAAAGGCTCCGGAGAAGAAGCCGAGTTAGTGACATCCAGAATGGCCGAGTTAGCAAGATGCAGTAATAGAATACGAGAGAGAGAGAGAGAGAGAGAGAAGGAGAGAAGGTGCCCGGTGTATTATAGGGGGGTCCTCTGGCAGACTAGACCTAAATCAGCCTAACTAGGGGCTGGTACAAGGCAAGCCTGAGCCAGCCCTAACTATGCCTTAACAGATGGGATCTTTCAGTAGGAGCTGAATGATTCAGAGACATCACTGACACAGACACAGACTGCTTCAGTGATGTTTTTTTATCTCTATTTCGATTTTCTTAAAATCGCCTCATTTTATTTGCTAACTTGTTGTTAACTAGCTGCTAACAGCAAATGTTGATAACTGCTAACAGCTAATGTTAACTAACTGCTCACAGCTAATGTTAACTAACTGCTCACAGCTAATGTTAACTAACTGAACACAGAATCTGCCCTGTTGAGTATAACAAATGATCTACTATTATCCTTAGACTCAGGCTGTCATGCCACTCTGATTCTCTTAGATCTTTCAACAGAATTTGATACTGTGGATCACTCCATTCTCTTGGACCGCTTGGAGCATGTTGTTGGCATTCACGGACTGGCTCTTCAGTGGTTTGCTTCCTACCTCCAAAGCCGCTCAGCCTCCGTCCAAATTGGTAATGTGTACTCCTCCTCTGCTCCCATCTCCTATGGTGTTCCCCAAGGCTCCATTTTAGGCCCAATTTTATTTTTACTATACATGCTTCCATTAGGCTCTATACTAAGGAAATACAATATATCTTATCACTGTTATGCAGATGATTCCCAGTTGTACCTCCCTTTGAAACCATCAGATCCTTGCTGCATTAATTCACTATTACTCTGTATTAATGACATAAAATCTTGGATGGCACAAAGCTTTCTTCAGCTGAACCATGACAAAACTGAGGTCCTCATCTTTGGCCTTACAGACACTCCTGCCTCTGTTACCAGTGCTCTTGGTCCTCTGTCTTCACATTTAAAATCTCATGTAAAGAATCTTGGCGTCATCTGACTCTGGCTTTAAATTTCACAAACATCCACTCAGTTGTCAGCTCAAGCTTCTTCCATCTAAGATCCATTGCAAAACTTAAATCATTTCTGTCCATAAAAGATTTAAAAATTCTGGTTCATGCTTTCATCTCCTCCCGATTAGATTATTGTAATTCCCTCTACACCGGCATCAACCAGTCAGCTCTGTCATGCTTGCAGCTCGTTCAGAATTCAGCAGCAAGACTCATTACTGAAGCCTATGAAAGAAAAAAGCTTAGATATGCAGACTTAGGAGCAGAAGCTGAGCAGCGTGGATGGAAGACTAGGATTTGTCCAGTGGAAGTGGGGTGTAGGGGATTCATAGCAAGATCAGCTGTCTCGCTCCTGGGGGAACTCGGAGTGCGGGGACAGAGTTTGAGGAAGACAGTGAGGGAAATGTCAGATGAAGCAATTAAATGTAGCCAGTTTATCTACAAGAGAAGAAATAATGTCAGTTGGGGGCCAGCAGGGGGAACTACTAAACAGGGCACATAACTCCTTGAGATCAGGTGGAGAGATCCACTTCCTCTCAGGAGGAAATCCAGGAAGAGGAAGGTTATTTAAGTGTGGGAGTGGCCTATTGGAATCCATTTTGTTTGAGACCATGCTGCAAGGTGAGTGTGTTTGCTGATCCTGTGAGTTTATTTATCTCCTTTAACTTTAGCTTATATTGTAGTTATGCTATGTAGCGTGTGAAATAGAGTATGGTGAATGTGCTAGGAAAGGTAGTATCAGCCCTGCCTCTACCTGGAGCTCTACCTGTTTGGGCTGAGAAAGCCATGTGTAAGTAAGGTAAAGGAGGTTATTGGGTTGGTGCGGGGAGCAGTGAGACCTGGCATTAGGGGAGTGTCTCTGGGACGCCAGAGATCACTGTCTAGCCTCCTGGAGGTGTCGTGGGACCAAGTAGACGAAACACTGGTGAAAGGAGGTTCCCACCCGATGACCCCAAAGACATGTTAGTTATCACTGCTCACTGGTCTGTATAGTTAAGCCTTGCCATAATAGCTTATCGTAGGGCTTAGGAGGTTATTCACTGAGTGCTGATCCTTTCTCTAGAGCACAAACTTCTTGTGTTTATTTGAATGAACTGGTACCAGGAGAAGTGATCACATTTCCCCTGTATTGGCCTCGCTTCACTGGTTACCTGTAAAGTATAGGATTGATTTTAAGACTCTTTTATTTGTTTTTAAAGCACTGCATGGACCAGCACCAGATTATATTTCAGAACTCCTCACTCCCTATTCCACTTCTCGTCCCCTCAGATCCACTGACAAATCACTGCTTTCTATCCCACTTACAAAGTTAAAAACCAGAGGTGACAGCTTTTTCAGTTGTTGGTCCACAACTGTGGAGCAGCCTGCCACAAACAGTTAGATCCTCACCCTCTATAAATATATTCAAAGCCCGGCTAAAAACCCATCTCTTTGCCTTAGCTTTTGGTGATTCATCATGAGAACATATTGTTTGATATTCATCTTTTTCATTGAATTTGCTCAAGACGAACTCTACTGTCTTAGTTGATTATTGTTGTGCATAATTGTGTCCATTGTANTAGGGCTTAGGAGGTTATTCACTGAGTGCTGATCCTTTCTCTAGAGCACAAACTTCTTGTGTTTATTTGAATGAACTGGTACCAGGAGAAGTGATCACATTTCCCCTGTATTGGCCTCGCTTCACTGGTTACCTGTAAAGTATAGGATTGATTTTAAGACTCTTTTATTTGTTTTTAAAGCACTGCATGGACCAGCACCAGATTATATTTCAGAACTCCTCACTCCCTATTCCACTTCTCGTCCCCTCAGATCCACTGACAAATCACTGCTTTCTATCCCACTTACAAAGTTAAAAACCAGAGGTGACAGCTTTTTCAGTTGTTGGTCCACAACTGTGGAGCAGCCTGCCACAAACAGTTAGATCCTCACCCTCTATAAATATATTCAAAGCCCGGCTAAAAACCCATCTCTTTGCCTTAGCTTTTGGTGATTCATCATGAGAACATATTGTTTGATATTCATCTTTTTCATTGAATTTGCTCAAGACGAACTCTACTGTCTTAGTTGATTATTGTTGTGCATAATTGTGTCCATTGTAAAACACTTTGGTCAACAATTGTTGTTTTTAAATGCGCTCTATAAATAAAGTTGACTTGACTTGACTACTGCTTACAACTAATGTTAACTAACTGCTAACAGGCAACAGCAAACATTTACCAACTGTTAACAGCTAGCATTAATTAGCAGCTAAAGCTAACTTTCAGCTAATGTAAACCCACAACTAACAGCTATCATTAAGTAGCTGCTAACATCTAACAGACAGCTAATGTTAACTAGCTGAATTTTCTTTGACATTGAAGGATAAAAATGACTAAAATGTGACTAAAACAAACACTTTAACATGTTTGTCTAAAATATCTGTCAAATTAACTAAATTAAAAAGTTCACACCAAGCCACGCCCCTCCTCTTATAAGTAAAGAACGGTCCCTAATTAAAAAAAGCAAAAGTGTATGAAGTTTTAAAAAAACGAGGATTTAATGATTTTATAGTATAGAATATAATCAAAACCTTCATTATCATATTTGATACACACATTTAACATTTAAATTTACAAACATTTATTTTCATTACTTCCTGCGTGTTTTTCTAAATAAACCTGTGATCTGGACTTTTATTTTGAAGGAGAGCAGCTGAACTGCCCCGGAAGCACTATTCTTTCCTGTGGCTAACTTGACAGTGTTTGAAGAAGATGGCGTCGAGCAGAAACGTCTGTTAGCAGAGTGTCTTTGTTGTGTTTTTAAAGTGTGAAGATGTGTAAAGTCCAAATGCTGAGAGCGTTGGTGAAGCAGCGACTAACTGCGGCTGCTGAAGAGATATTTGGGCTGTTTGAAAGAACGATAGCAGAGTACGAGGAGCAACTTTGTCGCTCAAAAGAGGAG